ATGGAATAATATTAAAAAAATTAAGCAATGTAAAATTACCATTTTAGATAATTTATTCTTTTTCTTTTCTTTTTTCTTTTTTCTTTTTTCTTTTTTTTTTTTTTTTCCTTTGTATGTTTTTTTTCCCTTTTCCCTAGATAAATTTCAAATAAAAAGAAATATTTATATATATATATGACAAACTTAATAATCATGCCTCTCTTTCTCTTTGTTATTTTTAGAATTTAAGGCCATATTTGGACTTCACATTTTTGTATTTTTTTTGTTTCCTCTTATGGCCTTTTGTTTTTGGACTGGTCTATTGCTTTGGCCCGAATGGTTCTGGTCCTCTTGTAGGACATGGACTATTATATTTGTAAATTTTTCTCATTTATTTTATTTATCAAAAAAAAAAAAAAAACCTTCAACGATGGTCAGAGCAATAAAGAGAGAGAGAGAGAGAGAGAAAAAAAAAATCAATGGTGGTCGGAACGAGAGAGAGAGAGAGTTCCACAACTATTTTCTATTATTTTGATACATTTCATGATATATGAGAAAAAATGCGTAGGACAAGGGAAAAAAAAAAAGAAAATAGTTTTTTAATTTATTTTATTTTGGAATAATTTCACTTACCTCCTTTGAGGTTAGGTGTAATTACAGACGGTACCTCTCACATTTCAAAAATTACAAAAACCTCCCTTCAATGTGACCGGAGTAAAATTCCGGTGACATTCGTGTCAAATGACTAAGATACCCTTATTATATAAAATAAAAAATTATCAGCATCCTTGCTCACCGCCGATCGGTCTCGCTATTGAGATTGTGCATCGCCGCTGCCATTTCAGTTCACTTCGTCACCGGATTAGAGCACCACTTCATCGCCTAGCTCACTAGTTCACCATCGGTATCTTGCGTCGCTAGGCTCGCTTTCTTTTTCTACAGCCCCGGTGATCATCGACAGCAAATTCGTCATCCATCGTCATCTACAAGAGCCTGTGCATGTCGTTTCGAGCTGCTTGCACACCATTCAGACCTCAAGCCGGTAAGCACTGATAAGAGTATCACCACCGTTCAATTCAGACCTAGTCCTTGCTGTCACCGTCATCGAAATAACCACTGTGCTTATCGCAGCCGGAATCGCGACTCTTTTAGTAGTTGTTCGTCGCCACACTCTGCCGCCACCGCAGCACAACCGTTCTTTCTCGCCGTCGACTAAGCACATCCTTGCTCGTCTGCCGTCGCCGGAATAGCGACTCTCATTGTTCGTCGCCACACTGCCGCCACCGCGTCACCGCCGTTCTTTTTGCTCACGGTCGATTGAGCACATCCTTGCTTGTCCCAGTGGATTATTCATAGCTTGCTGTCGCCCGACGTTCCGTCTGTCCTTGCTCGCCGTCCCGACCAGTCCCTCGTGCACCTCTGTTTGGGACATCATAACACACACACACACACACATATATCCTAAAGACCTTTTTGATGTCCTGCTCCGTCCATCCCTTGATTCAGATACCAGTCAAAATATAAGAAATTGGGGTTTTAGAAGTATTTGTTTGTTTGTTTATTTATTTATTTATTGTTTTTTTGGATATATAGGTTAATTTAATACAAAAGTAAGGGCAAATATGGTATTACAAGGTTAAAAATAGCTGATGTCATCAAAAATCATCATTGACTGGCGTTGACTCTTACCGAAAGGGGTTAAGTGTTATGACGGAGCAAACCTTGAGGGAGATCGGTGTAATATTTGAAACGTAAGGGGTACTGTCTGTAATTACGTCTAATCTCAGGGGAGGTAGGTGAAATTATTCCTTTTATTTTTAAAAATTATGGACTGTTTCTGCACAAACTCTTAAGAATTTTTTGTACTTAATCGTGAAATTTATATTAGAGAGGGTATTAATGTCTTTTTATGTGAATATAGGGTAATTGCACCAAATTGAATGCAAATATATATTGCCCTTCTTCGGGAGCTGCCTTTGATGAATTTCCACACCTTGAAAATTACGTTGCCGCGAATACCTTTGGAAATCTAGTGGAGATGGTGGTGGTCCTACTGGATGCTGAGGGATGATGTCACACTCATTGGAAGAGTTGGTTCCACTGGATCTCTGCCGATAATTGCACCTGTTGTAACTCGATCGTAAACAACAAGATTTCTAAAATGTGAAAATTCATTCGATCGAGCTCAGGATTGTAAATTATATTCTTAAAAATAATAATAATAATATGATATTTGACAAAATAAGTTAATATTGTTTTAAATGTAGCAGTCAATATTATACTGTATAGTTTTTACTTTTCAAATAAAACAAAAGACAAAACAATGAAAAGAAGTTGTTCACTTTTGTTCAATTCCTTATCATTGTTGTGTTTTTGTTTTATTTGGGAAGTAAAGCTGTATAATATTAACTTATTTTGTCATTGAATCATAATATTATTATTATTATTTAAAATATATAATTTGCAAACTTGAGTGGAAATTTTGTGGTAAATAGTTACCTAACAAAAATGTAATTTGCAAATTTTTTTTAGATTCTCTAATCTATTGAGAAGAAAAATAACTAGTATTTAATATAAGCAAGGATGATATACTTAATTCTTGTGTTATTTAAAACTCCGATCAACATTTAAAAGTGGAGAAACTAATATTACAACAGCAGGTGAAACAACCTAAATATTACAACTCTCCAAAATTCTCTAGTGTTGTAAAAAGTTGTATATGTTATAAATATCTACAACTCTATAGTACTTAAGAAATTTCTACTCTATCAACAGTTTATAATTCTCGGAAGAAAAAGTGGAGAAACTAATTTTATTCACGCCATGTTGACTTCTTCCCAACAGTGGTCACCAGCTTGTCACCATATCGTACTTACAATAGTTTGTCGCTATTTTTTAGCACCATAAATCTATATATTATGTTTAATTAAATTATTTAATATTTTTTAAAAATAGCACTTCCTCCCTTCCAAATCCAAAATAATTAGATACTTTGACAATTGTACTTCATCCTTCCCAAAATAGTTGTGTACTATTTTGAATACGGAGGAAGTACTAGTAATTACTATATTTTTTTACTTCAGGAGACGTACAATACAAAATTGAGTGGTTAAAAGTAAATTGATAAATAGAACCCATTGTTAATGTTCAACCATTAAATTTTGTACAAAACATCTCCAAGAGAATCCTTGTCCCCATAGTTGATGTGATTAACCATGATTTAGGATGCATGGACCCAATTGAAAATAAACTATTCGCACTAATTTAATTTAATTTGTAATTTTTTTCATTAGCAATAAGTGCATCAAATTTATACATATAATAATTTAAATGTAAAAAAATTATTCAAAATAAATTTTTCATTCACCGATTAACAAAATATAACTATTTTTGTATGTGTGTATATATATTATGATGTTGACTAATTCATATTTTTATATATATACATATATAATTTGATCCCATATATTTTGCCAGAGAAAAATCAGCATTAATAAATACTAAATCCAAATATGAAAATAAAAATAATACTAAATCTAACATAACCTGACTCGTGTAAGGGTTGATTAGCAAAATAAATACTCAAAAGTATTTATTTATTTATTCTTAATATAAGTATTCTTAATAAGTGAATAAAATATATATATATATATTATACAAGATATCTATGTCGTTTTGGTTGGTTCGCATGGGATGATGCCTTGTTAGCGGCTTTTTCAGTTGATGACCTGACTAGGCTGACTTGACTGTTGCAGTAGCTTTTCAGTTGTGCAAATTCAAAGCATAACATATAGTCGTCATATTCGCAACACGGCACGATAGTACGTCCAAACAACCTCCATCAAAATACCCGCCCATTCCCACATAACACACACACATATATGTATATATATATATATCAACTCACATCAGCCTTCAATTCCATCTTTATATCACTTTCCCAAGCTGTAGCCTGTCATTTTTTTTCCCCTTTTCATCTCTCTTCATCACCCAAAGAGAGAATCCATTTCACCAGACACCAACAGACAATAGCCAGCTTCAAGGACAAAACAATGACCCATTTAATTGAACAAGAAATTATACAAAATAAAGAAGGAATATTAGAAGCTCAATGCATGCAAAACATCAACACAAGCTAGTTTTTTCAATCGCAAAGGATAGTCGGGCAATGTAGGCAATTTTTATATCGTCATGAGCCTAAAAGAATATTATTACTGCATTAAACACTTTGGAATGGTCACATGCATGCATAATAGGAACACAGTGCTTTAAGCTAAAAAACCACATAATTATAATAATCCAGCACTTCCATTCATCATTTTCAATTGATTGGATGAACCAATTCATTCATCCAAACAAATACCAAAACCACAAAGGATTATTTTTGGTGCACGCCTTGAGAAATTCAACATTTTTTTGGTCTCATCAAACTAAACAAGACTAGCACATTTCATGAGACAATAGTTTCAGAGATTCCTGGACTATGGACAATACATTCAGACAATGCAGGTAAAATCAAAATTCATCATTGAACTAAGAACATTACTGCATAAAATCTTATAGAAGAGCTAGCATAACTTCCGCGCCCCCCCCCCCCCCCCAACTTCACTCTTAAAACCAAGCATAGTTACACATCCTTTTTTGGAACATCATTCTTGAAACAAAGAAAAAAAAAAGTACTTCAAAATTTTCACTAGGCCTCAAAACAGTTTTAGATTCCTCTGTGATGTAAATCACACAATGTAGGTAAATCTTAAATCATCATGCGCCTGAAAAAAATATTATAACATAAAATCTTCATAATAGGTCGGTCACACACAGCCACAGACTCCACGCAATAGGTCCAGAATCTACACAATAGGGAGCATATTTTTTTCTTTTAGCATTGTTCCTGAAAATCGAGAAAACAATAGTATATTCCATTTTCATGAGGACTCCAAATAGTTCAGTGGATTCTTCCTGAGATAAACACCTCAGAAAAGTAGGGAGCAAAAGAAATATTTACTTGGTCTACTTCAAAAGAAAAGAAAAGGTAACTTGCATCTCAAATAACAAGAAGTTTTAAAGTTCTTAAATGATTGTTTCATGGTTAATGTAAAATATAGAGCAAGAATAAAGCGAGGGCAGATTGTCATAGTAGGTTACACCCGGCATCAAAAGTTAAAACAAATGAAACACTACATTCTCCCGTTTGAGAAAGAACACAGCCAATTCTACTTTGAAAGCATTGTGTCTGGACTTTTGCACCCATTGCAGATGACATACTCATCTGGAAACAAACACAATCATCAACGTGAGATATAAGGATTCTAAAGAACACATGACAGAAACATGCTTCACTATTTGTGATCAGACAATCAATCAGATATAATTGAACAAAAAATTATACAAACACAAAAAGAATATTAGAAGCTCCATGCACGCACAATATGAACACAAGCTAATTTTTTCAATCACAATGGATAGTCAGGCAATGTAGGCAAATTTTATATCGTCATGGGCCTAAAAGAATATTACATTAAACACTTCAGAATGGTAACATGCAGGCACAGTATGAACACAATGCTGTAAACACAAAAACACAGAATTATAATAATCCAGAACTTCCATTGATCATTTTCAACTGATTAGATGAAACAATCATCCAAACAAATAAACAAAACCACAAAGGATTATTGTTAATGCACACATACAGAAAAGCACCATTTTTCTGGTCTCATTCTCAAAACCAAATGAGACTAACACATAAAATGAGACAGAATAGTTTCAGGGATTCCTGGACTGCAGACAATAAAATCACCAGTGACCTAAGAACATTACTGCATAAAATTTTATAGAAGAGGTCTGACACAAAGATTAGAAAGCATAATTTTTTTCCCAACGTCACTCTTGAAACCAAGCATAAATTAAAACCTTTTTCCAACATTCTTGAAACCAAGAAATATTAGTATTTTAAATTTTTCACTGCACCTACAGTTTTAGTTCCTCTGTCATGGAAATCAGACAACGTAGGCAAATCTTAAATCATCACGGGCCTCAAAAAATATTAAGACAAAATACGGTAAAACACGTCCAAAGACTCCACACAATAGGAAGCATAATGTTTTTCCTTTACCAAGCATAAAATACAACCTTTTTCCAGGGTCATTCTTGAAACCAATAAAAAGTATTATTTTAAATTTTTCACGGGGCCTCAGAACAGTATTAGATTCCTCTGTCATGGAAATCAGACAATGTAGACAAATTTTAAATCATCATGGGCCTCGCAAAATATAACATAAAATCTTCATAAGAAGTCAGTCACACACGTCTACAGACTCCACACAATGGTAAGAATAATGTTCAGAGACTCTGCACAATAGGAAGCATAATTTTTCCTTTTAGCATTGTTCCTGAAATAAAGAAAAGAATAGTATATTCCATTTTCACGAGGCCTCGGAATTAGTTCATGGATTCCTTTGATAAACGCCTAAGAAAAGTTGGGAGCAAGAGAAATATTTACTTGGTCTACTTCAAAAGAAAAGAAAAGGGAACTTACATCTCAAATATAATTTTTTTTTGAAGTTCTTCAATGATCCTTTCAATGTTAATGTAAAATGTAGAGCAAGAATAGAGTGTCATAGTAGGTTGCACCATGAAAGTTAAAACCAAAGATATTCTGTCACACACTAACACACCCAGAAAAAGATAGTAGCATACGAACTACTTACCTTCTCACATTTGAGAAAGAATAGCCAATTCTCCTTCAAAAGAATTTTGTCTGGACATTTGCACCCATTGCAGATGGCATACTCATCTGGAAACATACACAATCATCAACAAAGATTTGAGGATTCTAGAGAACACATGACAGAAACACACTTTACTATTTGTGATCAGACAATCAATCAGATATAATTGAACAAGAAATTACACAAACACAAAAAGAATATTAGAAGCTCTATGAAGCACAATATGAACACAAGCTAATTTTTTCAATCACGATGGATAGTCAGGCAATGTATGCAAATTTTATATCGTCATGGGCCTAAAAGAATATTACATTAAACACTATGGTCACATGCATGCACAGTATGAACACAATGCTGTAAGCACAAAAACACAGAATTATAATAATCCAGAACTTCCATTGATCATTTTCAACTGATTAAATGAACCAATTTATCCAAACAAATAAAAAAAACCACAAAGGATTATTGTTAATGCACAGAGACAGAAAATCACCATTTTTTTGGTCTCATTCTCAAAACCAAACGAGACTTAACACATATAATGAGACAGAATAGTTTAGAAAATTCCTGGACCACAGACAATACAATCAGACAATGTAGGCAAATCCCAAATCATCATTGACCTAAGAACATTACTGCATAAAATTTTATAGAAGAGGTCTGACACACAGATTAGGAAGCATAAATTTTTTCCATAGTCACTCTTGAAACCAAGCATAAAAATACAACCTTTTTTCCAACATCATTCTTGAAACCAAGAAAAATTAGTATTTTAAAATTTTCATGGGGCCTCAGAACAGTTTTAGTTCTTCTGTCATGGAAATCAGACAATGTAGGCAAATCTTAAATCATCACCGGCCTCAAAAAATATTCCAACAAAATATTCATAAGAGGATGGTAAAACACGTCCACAGACTCCACACAATTGGAAGAATAATGTCCAGAGACACCACACAATAGGAAGCATGATGTTTTTTTCCTGTACCAAGCATAAAATACAACCTTTTTTCCAAGGTCATTCTTGAAACCAAGAAAAAGTATTAATTTAAAATTTTCACGGGGCCACAGAACAGCTTTAGATTCCTATGTCAAGGAAATCAGACAATGTAGACAAATTTTAAAAATCATCATGGGCCTCAAAAAATATTACAACATAATATCTTCATAAGAGCTTGGTCACACACGTCCACAGACTCCAAACAATGGTAAGAATAATGTTCAGAGACTACACGATAGGAAGCAAAAAAAATTCTTTTAGCATTGTTCCTGAAATCAAGAAAAGAATAGTATTTTATAGAAGAGGTCTGGCACACAGATTAGGAAGCATAAATTTTTTTCCAGCGTCACTCTTGAAACCAAGCATAAACTACAAACTTTTATCCAACATCATTCTTGAAACCAAGAAAAATTAGTATTTTAAAATTTTCACGGGGCCTCAGAACAGTTTTAGTTCCTCTGTCATGGAAATCAGACAATGTAGGCAAATCTTAAATCATCACAGGCCTCAAAAAATAATACGACAAAATATTCATAAGAGGATGGTAACAAACGTCCAGAGACTGACTCCACACAATAGGAAGAATAATGTCCAGAGACTACACAATAGGAAGCATGATGTTTTTCCTTTACCAAGCATAAAATACAACCTTTTTTCCAAGGTCGATTATGAAACCAAGAAAAAGTATTATTTTAAAATTTTCAAGGGGCCTCGGAACAGTTTTAGATTCCTGTGTCATGGAAATCAGATTCCTTTACCAAGCATAAAATACAACCTTTTTTCCAAGGTCGATTATGAAACCAAGAAAAAGTATTATTTTAAAATTTTCAAGGGGCCTCGGAACAGTTTTAGATTCCTGTGTCATGAATATCAGACAATGTAGACAAATTTTAAATCATCATAGGCCTCGAAAAATATTACAACATAAAATCTTCATAAGAGGTCGGTCACACACGTCCACAGACTCCAGACAATGGTAAGAATAGTGTTCAGAGACTCTACGCAATAGGAAGCATACTTTTTTCTTTTAGCATTGCTCCAGAAATCAAGAAAAGAATAGTATATTCCATTTTCATGAGGCCTAAGAATTAGTTTATGGATTCCTTTGATAAACGCCTCAGAAAAGTTGGGAGCAAAAGAAATATTTACTTGGTCTACTTCAAAAGAAAAGAAAAGAAAAGAAAAGGGAACTTGCATCTCAAATATCAAATAGTTTCGAATTTCTTCAATGATCCTTTCAATGTTAATGTAAAATGTAGAGCAAGAATAAAGTGTCATAATAGGTTGCACCATGCTTCAAAAGTTAAAACCAAAGATATTCTGTCACACACAAACACACACCAGAAAAAGATAGCATACGAACTACTTACCTTCTCACATTTGAGAAATAACAGCCAATTCTCCTTCAAAAGAATTGTCTCTGGACATTTGCACCCATTGCAGATGACATACTCATCTGGAAACATACACAATCATCAACGTGAGATATAAGGATTCTAAAGAACACATGACAGAAACATGCTTCACTATTTGTGATCAGACAATCAATCAGATATAATTGAACAAAAAATTATACAAACACAAAAAGAATATTAGAAGCTCCATGCAAGCACAATATGAACACAAGCTAATTTTTTCAATCACAATGGATAGTCAGGCAATGTAGGCAAATTTTATATCGTCATGGCCTAAAAGAATATTGCATTAAAGACTTCAGAATGGTCACATGCACGCACAATATGAACACAATGCTGTGAGCACAAAAACACAGAATTATAATAATCCAGAACTTCCACTGATCATTTTCAACGATTAGATGAACCAATTCATCCAAACAAATAAAATAAACCACAAAGAATTATTGTTAATGCACGCATACAGAAAATCACCATTTTTTTGGTCTCATTCTCAAAGCCAAACGAGACTAACACATACAATGAGACAGAATAGTTTCAGAGATTCCTTGACCACAGACGATACAATCAGACAATGTAGGCAAATCCAAAATCATCATTGACCTAAGAACATTACTGCATAAAATTTTATAGAAGAAATCTGACACACAGATTAGGAAGCATAATTTTTTTTCCAACGTCACTCTTGAAACCAAGCATAAAATACAACCTTTTTTCCAACATCATTATTGAAACCAAGAAAAATTAGTATTTTAAAATTTTCATGGGGCCTCAGAACAGTTTTAGTTCATCTGTCATAGATATCAGACAATGTAGGCAATTCTTATATCATCACGGGCCTCAAAAAATATTACAACAAAATATTCATAAGAGGACGGTAACACACGTCCACAGACTCCATACAATAGGAAGAATAATGTGCAGAGACAACACACAATAGGAAGCATGATGTTTTTCCTTTACCAAGCATAAAATACAACCTTTTTTCCAAGGTCATTCTTAAAACCAAGAAAAAGTATTATTTTATTTTATTTTTTAGTTTTTCCTAATTGGTACTCACACACACACGGTTCTTCTGAGACTTGAACCTTTGACCTCCTTTTGGGAAAGTAAGAGGCTGATATCGTTAGGCTACTAGCCCGTTGGTTATTTTAAATTTTTCACGGGGCCTCAGAACAGTTTTAGATTCCTCTGTCATGGAAATCAGACAATGTAGACAAATTTTAAATCATCATGGGCCTCAAAAGAGGTCGGTCACACACGTCCACAGACTCCACACAATGGTAAGAATAATGTTCAGACACAACAGTACTACACACAATAGGAAGCATAATATTTTCTTTTAGCATTGTTCCTGAAATCAAGTAAAGAATAGTATTTTATAGAAGAGGTCTGACACAGATTAGGAAGCATAATTTTTTTCCAAAGTCGCTCTTGAAACACAAGCATAAAATACAAACTTTTTTCCAACATCATTCTTGAAACCAGGAAAAATTAGTAATTTAAAATTTTCACGCGGCCTCAAAACAGTTTTAGTTCCTCTGTCATGGAAATCAGACAATGTAGGCAAATTTTAAATCATCATGGGCCTCAACAAATATTACAACAAAATATTCATAAAGAGAACGGTAAGACATGTCCACAGACTCCACACAATAGGAATAATAATGTCCAGAGACTGTACACAATAGGAAGCATGATGTTTTTCCTTTACCAAGCATAAAATACAACCTTTTTTTCCAAGGTCATTCTTGAAACCAAGAAAACGTATTATTTTAAAATTTTCACGTGGCTTCAGAAAAGGTTTAGATTACTATCATGGAAATAAGACAATGAAGACAAATTTTAAATCATCGTGGGCATCAAAAAATATTACAATATAAAATCTTCATAAGAGGTCGGTCACACACATCCATAGACTCCACACAATGGTAAGAATAATGTTCAGAGACTCTACACAATAGGAAGCATAATTTTTTGTTTTAGCATTGTTCCTGAAATCAAGAGAAGAGTATTATATTCCATTTTCAGGAGGCCTCGGAATTAGTTCACGGATTCCTTTGATAAATGCCTCAGAAAAGTTGGGAGCAAAAGAAATATTTACTTGGTCTACTTCAAAAGAAAAGAAAAGGGAACTTATATCTCAAATATCAAAAAGTTTTGAAGTTCTTCAATGATCCTTTTTCAATGTTAATGTAAAATGTAGAGCAAGAGTAAAGTGTGATGGTAGGTTGCACCATGCGTTGAAAGTTAAAACCAAAGATATTCGGTCACACACAAACACACACCCAGAAAAAGATAGCGTACGAACTACTTAGCTTCTCACATTTGAGAAAGAACAGCCAATTCTCCTTCAAAAGAATTGTGTCTCGACATTTGCACCCATCGCAGATGACATACTCATTTGGAAACATACACAATCATCAACATAGATTTAAGGATTCTAGAGAACACGTGACAGAAACACACTTTACCATTTGTGATCAGACAGTTAATCAGATATAATTGAACAAGAAATTAAACAAACACAAAAATAATATTAGAAGCTCTATATATGCACAATATGAACACAAGCTAATTTTTTCAATCACAATGGATAGTCGGGCAATGTAGGCAAATTTTATATCGTCATGGGCCTAGAAGAATATTACATTAAACACTTCAGAATGGTCACATGCATGCACAGTATGAACACAATGCTGTAAACACAAAAACACAGAATTATAATAATCCGGAACTTCCATTGATCATTTTCAACTGATTAGACAAACCAATTCATCCAAACAAATAAAATAAACCACAAAGGATTATTTTTAATGCACGCATACAGAAAATCACCATTTTTTTGGCCTCATTCTCAAAACGAAAGGAGACTCACACATGAAATGAGACAGAATAGTTTCAGAGAATCCTGGACCACAGACAATGTAGGCAAATCCAAAATCATCATTAACCTAAGAACATTACTGCATAAAATTTTATAGAAGAGGTCTGACAAACAGATTAGGATGCATAAATTTTTTTCCAACGTCACTCTTGAAACCAGGCATAAAATACAACCCTTTTCCAACATCATTCTTGAAACCAAGAAAAATTAGTATTTTAAAATTTTCACGGGCCTCAGAACAGTTTAGTTCCTCTGTCATGGAAATCAGACAATGTAGGCAAATCTTAAATCATCACCGGCCTCAAAAAATATTATGACAAAATATTCATTAGAGAACGGTAACACACGTCCACAGACTCCACACAATAGGAATAATAATGTCCAGAGACTCTACACAATAGGAAGCATAATGTTTTTCCTTTACCAAGCATAAAATACAACCTTTTTTTCCAAGGCCATTCTTGAAACCAAGAAAAAGTATTATTTTAAAATTTTCACGGGGCCTCAGAACAGTTTTAGATTCCTCTGTCATGGAAATCAGACAATGTAGACAAATCTTAAATCATCATGGGCCTCGAAAAATATTACAACATAAAATCTTCATAAGAGGTCGGTCACACACGTTCACAGACTCCACACAATGGTAAGAATAATGTTCAGAGACTCTACACAATAGGAAGCATTATTTTTTCTTTTAGCATTGTTCCTGAAATCAAGAAAAGAATAGTATATTCCATCTTCACAAGGCCTCATAATTAGTTCACGGATTCCTTTGATAAACGCCTCAGAAAAGTTGGGAGCAAAAGAAATATTTACTTGGTCTACTTCAAAATAAAAGAAAAGGGAACTTACATCTCAAATAGCAAAACGTTTTGAAGTTCTTCAATGATCCTTTCAATGTCAATGTAAAATGTAGTGCAAGAATAAAGTGTCATAGTAGGTTGCACCATGCGTCGAAAGTTAAAACCAAAGATATTCTGTCACACACAAACACACACCCAGAAAAAGATAGCCTAGGAACTTCTACCTTCTCACATTTAAGAAAGAACAGCCAATTCTCCTTCAAAAGAATTGTGTCTGGACATTTCACCCATTGCAGATGACATACTTACCTGGAAACATACACAATCATCGACATAGATTTAAGGATTCTAGAGAACACATGACAGAAACACACTTTACTATTTGTGATCAGACAATCAATCACATTTAATTGAACAAGAAATTCTACAAACAAAGAAGGAATATTAGAAGCTCTATGCAGTGCAGTGGGATGCAACTCCTAGCACATCAATTTTTAGCGAAGTTCTGAACAGCCCAGAAGCCAAGTAGGTCAAGAAAGGGTTCAAATTCCCAATTTTTCAGGCCCACATTTAACAACTGGCTTGCTTATTTTTATAGCACAATTATGCAAACACATAAGAAGAACTTACTGACATATCCCCGGGATCCCCTCAAAAAAATTTGGTTCCACACCTTCCCTTCACAACTATCTTTGTTGTCCATCAAGTGATCCACTCATCCCAATTTCAGCCAGCAAGAAAGTCATGACATGCTCTGTCTGCCTATGCATCATGTAAAATGGGCAGGAGATATAAAGATGGTCATATACAAAGGAAAATAATGTTCGAAAGACTTGTCATCAAAGAAAATTGGAACAAATTGCCTTACATAAATAAAGAACCAATCATATGATCAATTCCAGAAACACAAATAGCAAATATATATATAGAATTTAAGAACATGTACTTGTATTGAATTTTATCAAATTAAGGGGCTTCAGAAAAAGTAACTCCTTATGATTTAGAACAGAAAACACTATAAAGATAAATGTTATTGTATGTCCACATAGATGCTTACACGTTCCTATTATAAGATGGTTAAAACCCAACAGGCAGCAAATGGGGGTGCACAATGGGCAGTGTCAAACCACAACCCAAACCAAACTAATTTGAACCATATAGTTTGGTTCCATGTAGGGATCAATGGTTATTTTCCAAAACCAAATTAGTGGAATCGTTAAAATCAATTTGGTTCCTAGTTTGGGGACCTAAAATACTAAACAAAATATGATATACATATATATATATATGTCAGAGGCAACATTTGTTATTATATCCAGCAAATAAATTTTATATAATTTATATATACATACCCAAATTACCAACCCTAACCCTCATTCATCATTTTCTCCCACCTAATTCACCATTCTCCACTTATCCTCCTCCCTCACTCTGCGCCCATCACACCAATAAGAAGCAAACCCACACGGCAAATAAGTTAAGTGTTCCTTACTTTTGTAAAACTGCAATATTCCCCATTCCCCCTAGTGTTACAAGGGGTATTTGTCCCACATCGGATCTCGATGAAAAGTGAAAAAGGTATAAACAGGTAGGTATACAACACTATCCAACAACTTAGGCTTTTGGGTAAACGGGTAAGGCAAGCACCCACCCTTTATAGTTTGTATCAAAAGCCAGACCCCATCCTGCCACGACAAGCGCCCGGCCCTGCCCGGAAGGCGTCCGGGTGAGCCACCTGGATAGGCGACCGCAATGAGAGCGTTGCGAATTCAGGTGTGGGAGAATGTTACAAGGGATATTTGTCACATATCGGATCTGGATGGAAAGTGAAAGGGGTATAAATGGGTGGGTATACAGCATTATTCAACAACTTAAGCTTTTGATAAATGGGCAAACGCCCACCCATTACAATTAACTTGTACATCAGCTACTTAAACATCATTTATGTCTATCTCCTGTATCATACTGCAGGTATGGATTTTTTTACACTTGCCTTGTACATCCAAATTCACTTGAAGAAATTACACCATATATGGCTCTATATTAAGACAGTCATGTTACAGGATAAGCCCAGTTCATCAAGAGCGTTATAACAACTTACACGTTTCTTCTTCTTCTTTCAGACCAGAAAAGGTAGTCTCAAGCCCATCATTCATCATTTTCTCCCACCTAATTCTCCATTCTCCACTTATCCTCCTCCCTCACTCTGCGGCCCAATCAACTTCACTCCAGTAAGAAGTAAACCCACACGGCAAATAAGGTAGTGTTCCTTACTTTTGTAAAACAGCCATATTCTCCATTCCCCCTAGCCTGTACATCAGCTACTTAAACATCATTTCTGTCTTTCTCTTGTATCATACTGCAGGTATAGATTTTTTTACACTTTACTTGTACATCCAAATTCGCTTGAAGAAATTACACCATATATAGCTCTATATTAAGACGGTCATGTTACAGGATAAGTCCAGTTCATCAGGACCGTTACAACAACTTACACGTTTCTTCTTCTTCTTTTCAGGCCAGAAAAGGTAGTCTCAAGCCCATCAGAAACTGTGTGGGTGCAATGACAGATGCATCAGCATAATTATGGGACCTTCAACAAAGTTAAATAAACAAAAATAAATATATAGAAAAAAAATTGAGGGGAAGTAACTTTGCCAGTAAATTTCTCATTACGTTCATATACCTGACAAACTTTCGATTTTCTCAGCCAACTTATCCAGAGAATCATTTGCAAGATCAAGAATAACCACTTTCTTCTTTTACTTATTTTTCAGTTTTTTGTAGGATCAAATGGGGAAATCTGCAATGTCATTGTAAATTTTAGAAAAATGATGTAATATTAAGGTCAAGCCATCACCTAGAAAATATGCCATTTGGCTACATGGGTAGTCAAGCAACTTAATAAGCAAGAATAGATTATAGTCGTTAAGTGGCACTTAACAAACCTGATGGTCCTTAACAAAAAAAGATGTCTATTCTAAGACTGGATTCTCATATAGTTATAGTCTTATAGACAATATAAGTTGTACAAAAACTGGTGAAGCTTCATCTTTTATCAACTTCAACAACTAACAGTGTGAATTAAAAAGGCCAAGAATCCCATATCATACTTATTTTGTCTGCCTTTTGGTAGTAACTTGTTGAAAGGCAGTTGCTTAAGTAATAAATAGCAATAAAGAAAGCCTTCCACTTAATAGGGTTATAAGCCAAACCATCCACTATAAAGATTCATCAAATGTGCTTTCCACATGTGCAAGTATCAAACGTACCATCAAAGAAACACACAATTCATCATTTATCAACATTAAAGTGAAATTACTTGCCTAAAAAAAATCAAGTGAATTCATCACATTGAAAAAATTACAATTTACCACCCATATTCAACCACACCCACAAGCAGCATAAAAAATTGTAAAAAATATGTTTCGTATATCAAATCAGTCACAATGGCTAAATCATCAGGTAATTTATTATATCCAAACACAAAACCAAATCCAAAGAAGGTAAAAAAAAAAAAAAAAAAAAAAAAAACTTACATCAGCCCGCATCCTCCTTCACTTCGTCTGAATTTTCTTCTTCAGTCATTATTGAATACTGAAAAAAGAGTACAAGCAAACATCAAATCCAACTCTATGAAGTCAAAATGGATGTAATCAAATAAAAATCCCATGTCTTTCCGGTCCCAGCCAACATTACAAAACACAGCACACGAACAACCATAAGATGACAAATAAAGAGTAACTGGGTCTCCGCCATTAAGAATGCATCAAATCCATCTATGGCAAGATAATTAATCAACGCAATCAGATAACAATCAATAGTCTGGACAATCAAAAAAAAAAAAAAAATCAACAAAAGAAACAGCAAAAATAAAACTAGACTATCATGTACCACAAAAAGATCAAATCATGCCAACAATCACATAGCCATTTGCATCAGTTTAATTCGCACGCATTAAAAAAAAAAAAACACACAAACACACACACACGTACGCATTTCATAAGAACCCTAAATCAGAAAAACTCACTCTATGGAGTAGCCTCTTCTTTCCCCTTCTCATCTCATTATATAGACCGGCCAGTCTATAAACTTGGGGCAACGCCCTAACTCTCAACTCGCAATTTTCATAAGAACCCTAAATCAGAAGAACTCACTCTATAGAGTAGCCTCTTCTTTCCCCTACCCCGCCTCTCATCTCATTTTATAGACCGACCTGTATATAAACTTGGGGCACCGCACTACTCTCAACTCCCAATTCCCAAGTGCCCTGCGAAATATTTTTGCTATATTAAAAGGGTGAGCTGAAAAAATATTGTTAAACTTGAAAGAGAAAAAAAAAAAAAATAAAAATAAAAAATAATATTAAAAACTGAAAAAGATAAATAAATAAAATTTCGGTGAATTTTTTTAAATAAAGAAAAAAAATGAATTATTGATAATCATATAAAAATATTTAATATTTATAATGTTTGTTCTCAACCAATCGTGTCTTTTAATATTAATGAAATAATATATTTTGTAGGTAGACTGTATAATTATGATAGTATTATGTGACATTAATTTTAATTTTTTGTAATACAAATTATATTTTTCAAATTAAAATTTTAAGAAGAGAAGTTTTCTAAACTAATTTATAAAAATAAAAAAAATTATTAAATTGATATTTATTTAATTTTTACTAAAAGTTTGTACTTTTTTTGTTTCAAACGCTAAAAATTTGTACTTTGAGACTCATCTTTATATACAAACTATAATTAGATTCAATCAGATACAACTCAATTAAGGTAGTAACTTAGTCCTTGGAGATACAGCCGTGTTGGTAGGGATTTGAAAGATAAGTAATTGAGGTCTCGCTTTTGAATGTACTTCTGACTTAACTAGTGTGTGTATCATGAAACTGATACAAATGTTATGAACGAAATAATAATAATTTAAGGTAACAATGGGTTACATTTACAAGTGCCACTAGTGGAACGTCAGCTAATCCTATACAATATTATAATTTGCCACATCTATAATGTTGATTTTTCGGAGGCCTTGGTTGGTAAACTTGAATTATGATTTTCTGTTGTGGTTTTCATTTTTTTAAAAAAAAAAAAGCCGGCAACAAAATTTGTTTGATAATTCTATTTTGATTTTTCACATTTCAAAAGTTTTGAAAAATAATGTCATTTTCTTCACAATTCCCACATCTTCAAAATGAAACACGGATTTTTTTTTTTGGTTTTCAAATACTATTATTTTTCAAAATGAGAATTAGAAAAATATTATTTTATTATTTTTCAATTATACTCGAATAGTAAATAAAAGTAAAAAATTTATTTTATTATACTTGAATATTAAATTTAAAAATGTTATTTTATTATTTTTTAATTATACTCAAATAGTAAATAAAATATTATTTAATTATTTTTCAATTATACTTGAATAATAAATGAAATATTATTTTATTATTTTTCAATTATACTTGAATAATAAATAACAGAGTCAATTTAAAAAAAAATAATTGGCATAAAAAATTCAACAATGTATATTACCAAACATATTTTAGTTTGAACTATTTAACACAGTTTTACTAAACAGACCCTGAATACGTGCATTAACGACAATCTTTTGTGATTTTTGTATTTGTTTGGATAAATGTATTCGTCTAATCAGTTGAAAATCATAATGTAAGACCTGATTATTGCGCATGCATGTGACCATTTTGAAATGTTTAATGTGGTAATAATATTCTTTGAGGCCCAAGACCATATAAAATTTGCCTGACTATCCATTATGTTGCATTTGGTAGGCAGTCGTGCAATAATAGAAAGGAATGAAATGTTCATTTCAATCATTGTTTTGTTTAGTATACAAATTAAAGTGAAATAATCATTCCATTAAAATAAAAATCTATTCCACAACTAAACTTATGAAATGGCCATTCCACCACAACCACCTCTACCTTTCACCACCACTGACTTTCACCACCACCCACGATTTTCCACTACTGCCACCGTCTTTTACCACCAACACCGCCTTCTTTTGCCTAAACCATCGCCGCTGTCACCACCTTTCACCATCGCTACTGCCACCACCGCTACCGCCACCACCTTCCACCAGCACCACCGCCATCACCTTTCACCACCCCCACCTCCATTGCCTTCCACCACCGCCACTCCCGCTGCTTTCCACTACTACCACAGTCACCTCCATTGGCTTCTACTACCGCCACCTACACCATTATCTCCTTCCACCACCACCGACACTTTTGCCACCGTCTTACACCACTGTTGCCTTTTTTTTTTTTTTTTAGTTGGTACTCACACACACATGTCTCTACTAAAATTTGAACCCCTGACGTCAATTTAGGAAGTAAGAGGCTGATACCGCTAGGTCAACACCGTTGCCTTCTAATACCACCACCTACACCACTATCATTTTCCACCTCCACCACCGTCACTACCACCATTTATTTTCAAAAAATTATAGAAGAATGTCATTTGTTAATTTAATTTATTTTTTATTAACAAAGATAGTTTGGAGAACTCAATTTGAAATTTATTCCATTCTAAATAAAAAATTGGTTCAACCAAAAACTATAATGGTTATTATCATTCCATTCCTACACATTTCATATTTACAATCAAACAATAGAATGAGAATGGTCATTCCATTTCATTTCCATTCTCATTAATTTTATTTTCACTTGCATTCCATTCCATTCCTTTGTACCAAATGTGCAATTAGAGTTGGAAAAAGTAGCTTGCTTGTGTGTGTTGAATGCATCTTTTCTTTTTCTTTTTATTTTTTTGTGTATTACTATACTTCAAGGACTATGATGATATAAGATTTGTACACTTTTAATAGTGATCCTGTTATTGATTATTTTTGTATTTTACCTATTTATTGTTGGCTGTGTTGGCAGTTGTAGTTTGCTGTAACAAACTTGAGAAATACAGAACTTCTTGTTTTTAATTTTAGTTTTTAAGTAATACGATTTATGCATATTGACTTATTTGTTAAATAAACTTAATTAAATAGCATTCTTTTGTTTCAATTATTTGGTCAGATCTATACATATCCTTTGAACCTGTCATACACCTAAAAGTAGGCTAACAATTACTTGTGAGAAACATCGATCATTATTCTTTGAATGGGAAACTAATTGTTGGAGGAGTTTTTCTCCTGATACTTAAATCTAATATTTACATTCAAATAGCATAAATCATCAGATTTTCTAATAGAGTCGTCTTCTATAAATAAATAAAGTATATTGAATAACAAAGTCAACATGGTCAACGTCTTTGTTGTATAATGGGTAAATTGATAATTTTAGCCACTCTGCTTCCTAAAAAGATCATTAGACAATGGTGTTCCCATCAAATCCGGGTTGTAGGAGGCTGGAGGGAGTAAAAAAGACAATTGCCGAATATTAATAAAAAAAAAAAATTGACATGGGAGTACAGATTATATTATGCAATTAACTTGAATATACAATGTACGTATAACACAAATAATTGCATGTTGTAGTAATAATTGCATTTGGATTGCCAAAATGCGAAACTTGAAAATGACGAGTAGAAAGTCATTGATCTCAGAGATGGATCACAGCGTGAAACGAATGCTGAAACTGATAGAGGAAGACGGGGATTCATTTGCTAAAAAGGCTGAGATGTATTATCAGAAGAGGCCAGAATTGATCTCCATTGTCGAAGAATTCTACCGCATGTACCGGTCACTGGCGGAGCGTTATGATCACGCGGCAACAGGCGAATTCCGGGGGACCCTCCATTCCCAGGGCTCAGGCATCTCCGACATCAGCTTTGAAATGGCCTCCTCCACATCTCCTTCTCCCGATCGAAGAACAAGCCGTAAATCCGGTCCTCGTGCAGCTGGTTTTGACTTCTTCCTTGGCTCTGCTGGAAATAGCTTGGATTCGTCCAACAAGTTTGAAGGTTATGAATCATGTACCTTAGATTACGATGAATCAGCAGAATCGGATGACGATTCCTCCGTTAATAATTATTCGGCCGCCGCACCTGGTAATGGCGAATACCGAGGGTTGCGTATGAGGATTATTGAATTAGAGGTTGAGCTTCGTGATGTGAAGGAAAAGTTGCGCCTTCAACACCACCACGGCAATGCATATATTGGTTGTTCTTTCAAGGAAACCAAAAAATGGAATGCAGATGAAGAGCTGCTGAGGGACGCAAAAGAAAAGATTATGGTTTTAGAAGAAGAGAACGCTAGGTTAAAGGCAGGCATTGCTGAGGCAGATGATGGGTTGCAGCAAAGGCTCGATGAATTTAAATCCAAGTATGAGATGGTGATAATGGAGAGAGATGAGATGAATGCTAAAATGATCGGACTCGTCGATGAGGTGAGCTTTAGAGATGAGAGGATTGATGAAATGAGCAGGGATTTGCATGAGTTACGTATGGAACATGTTGTGTTGAATGGTGAGAGAGAAGGGGCGCATAAACTGGTGGAGGAAATGAGAATGAGAGTTAGAGGACTTGAGAGGGAGGTTGAGAGGCACAGAGCTGTGATTATGGAAGGGGCTGAAGAAAAAAGGGAGGCTATAAGGCAGCTTTGTTTCTCTCTTGAGCATTACAGAAATGGATATCATCGCCTTCGGGAGGCTTTCATGGGGCACAAGCGAATCCCAATTATGCCTACTGAATTTATTAAGTGAGGTTAATTACTGTAGGTAATTTTCTGAGGCTTGTCATTTGCGTTTTTTTTTTTTTTTTTTTTTGAAAGTATACTGAGAAATCAAAGTTGTAAATACATTGCTTGCTGGCACTATGTGTTTATTTTGTTTGTGTCAGTGCAGGATAATGAAATTTAAGTTGCTCGGCCAAATTTTGGGCTTTCATTATAGTTTTTATACATTCGTTCTAGTTTTTGCAAAGGCCGGTTGTCGAGGCTAGTTAGACAACTGATCATAAAAATTTATGTCAAACCCTATGATGATAAGCTAATTTAAGAGGGTTGTCTTTTGAGAGTTTCAAATGCTAATTTTTTGGTATATCTTAGGGAGATAAATAAAAAAAGGTTTGAATTAAATGGAAATTACGCGCCAGGTAGGGGTCGAACCTACGACCTTCTGCTTAGGAAACAGACGCTCTATCCACTGAGCTACAGGCGCTTCTTGATGACAGTTAGTATGCAAAATATCTAGATAGAATACACTACAACAACCCTAATTAAAAGTTGTCTTCATTTTTGTTCTTTTTGTCCGAATAGTTAACATACAAAACTTAAAAATTTCTTCAATTTATCTTATTCTATATTTGGGAGTATCAAATATCGGGCTTGAATTTATAACCGAAGAAAATTTAGTTTAAATTTTTAACTAAATTTCTTCCAATTTTAAATTTAAAGCGCCGATTTAATATTTCTAAATAGTGACGGACACAGAAAATTTTGTGAAGGGGGTGGCCTTTTAATTTGTGGAACCAAACTTATATAGTGGGTTTATTTTTGTAATTTCAGTACGGACATTTTTATAAATTCTCAAAATTTTGAAGTATAATATGAAAAAAAAAAATTTCCGTGTGGGCAAATTGTAATTTTAGTGAGAGAATCTTGGTAAATTCTCAAAAAAATTTAGTATAAAATGCAAAAATAAAAAAAAATAAATAAATAAATAAATCAACTGGGGAGAATTTTAATTTTAGTGAGAGCATCTTCATAATTTTTTAAAATTTTGTATTATAAAATGCAAAAAAAAAAAAAAAAAAAAAAATTAGTAAGGTGAATTGTAATTTTAGTAGAAGCATCTTCATAAATCTTAAAACACTTAAAATATAAAATACAAAAAAGAAAGAAAATCCCATGGGGACACTGTCCTATAATTTGTATTGCGGGTTCATGCCTGATCCCAAACGCAACAATAAAGTTTTAAAAAGTGTTAGCTCACTAGAATTAACATGTCTATGATGTCTTAAAAGTGAGTGAATCATCTTTCTATAATACCTTGCAAGATTCATTTGTTCTAAGGACGGTCTTATTAGTCCATAATTATTTCTTATATAATTATATATTTGATCAGATCATTTTTCTAATTTTTTTTTTTTTGGATACATTTTTCTAATTTTTCATTATCAGTATAAATAGTGTGTGCACACATCGAGCTGTCATATTTAACTACCATTGAATAAGATGAGATTAAATTTCACTTTTATCATTGTTTTATCCTATTCTAATGTTGTCAATTGATATGTTTACTTTAAAATACCATCAGAGGATCAAATCCATAGCTCTATCAATACAAGACTAATGGTGAAAAAAAAAAAAAAAAAAGGTAATATTTGTTTATCAAACCCGCAGGAAGCTCTATTAGTGCAAGATATACGAAGGACAAATTATTTATCAATCTTAATTAAGTAATTTTTATAACGAATTAAAAAAATTATATGAAAAGGAATAACTTTGAACAACAGTAATATATAATAGGTTATGTTAAAAATTGAGTGAACGCATTTTTTAACCTTTTTTTTTTCACAAAATTTATAAAGTAATTTTATATATATATAAAAATTTGGTAGTCATCTTGACCAGCGTGTGTACTGTAGCTCTTATCCTCTTAGATAAAGAATCAATCATCCATGACGTAATAAATGTTATAGGCGTAAGGTGACGTGGGTGGTAGGTAGGTGCAATTAACAGGTGAGGTCCTGGGTTTCCCCACCTAGGTTTCCATAAAAAAACCCTAAACATAATAATACTATTAGACCGCCACATAAATAAAGTTTTTTTTTTTTTTTTTGACATTTTAAAGTTTTATACTACTTAAACATGATCTTGCAAAATATAATATTAAATATTTATAAGATTTTATATCTATACTTTTTTTAATATATTAAGATTTTTATATTTATTACTATTTTTTTCAAAGCTGTATTTTATAAAGCTTAATACTGGAAGATTTTGCCTTCCACCATGTTTTTCAATATTTCATGTGGTTGTTGAATCATTCAAAGCATTGGCTTTGAGTGCTTCTGAAGGTTCGGGATTATTTTGAACTTTTTGTTTTAGATATTAAATTTTATATTTTACGTACATAATTAATTAAAATTTGTATGTTAAATAAATCACTTTAAATAATTAATAAAAGAATTATTTTCCTAAATTATAAGGCATATTATGGTTTGGAGTCCGGATCCTCCCTCTGCACCTTTCAACATTATGTATTTTTCACATTATATTTGACTAAAAAACAGGAAATAACAGTTTCGTTTATTTTAACGTAAAATATTTTTTTAAAAATATTTTTTATTTTATAATGTTTGGCTGTCGTAAAATATTTACGAAAAAAAAAATATATTAAAATTTAACAAAAATAACTTATTCATCAATTTTTAAAAAGTTATTTTACGTGCTCAATTCGATGGATTCGACCTCAACCTCGATATAAATCTTTATCAAACACAGACAAAATAAAAATAAAAGAATATTTTACTTGAAAAAAATAAAAAATTTACGTCGAAACAAATAGAACCAACATGGTGAATATAAATGTAACGGTATTAAAAATCACTGCAAGATTAATGAATTGTAATGATAAATTTGTTATCTTTACAATATAAATTACGACAAATAATATATGTAAAGTTAAAAGGACCTGGTACCCAAATACAGTCAGCCATTTCCATTTGCACCACAAGAAAAATGGACGTGGTTATTTTGCCGGGAGTAGGTAAGCCATTGATCCACGTCCCATCCGTCGTAGTAGGTAAACTTTAGAAGTGGTCTCAGTCTCTTCCTTTTAACTATATATATATATATATATAACTTGTATCCCTAATGAATAACATTTATTTATCATATTAAAACAAGTGAAAGAAACGTCCTCAATTACCGTTTATCGATCTGTGTTATGCAATCACTCATGTTCCACCAACGTTAACACGACATGTGTATGCGATAAACATATGACAAAATTTGAGATTTGTGCTAGTCTCCTGTTCTCTACATTTATTCAATAAAATAATTAAAAACTTAATTTGATTACTCAATTCATTATTTAATTATCAACAAATTAAACACTTATTCAATTAAATGTATTTAATAAAGCAATTTAAATATTACTAAAAATAATAAGAGCTATTTAAAATGGAGTAAAATTTTAAGTGATAGAGTGATCGCTTACCACTGAACCTTAAAAATTATTAAAAATTATTTATTTTTTAATTAACACTTAAAACTTCAGCACTTAAAATTGATCTCAACTTATTTTTCAGTTTTATTTTCTTGCCTGTAATATAGATGAATACTTTGGTTTTTTTTTTTTTAAGAACATATCATTTAATTAAACTCTAATTATAGTATAATCATAAAAAATAATTAATCATATTTTATATTATTATATAACTACAATGAAGGCACATGATGTATTTATATTGATGCTCTATATTTTGAAGCATAAGTTGAATTATGCAACTAAGGCTTGTTTTGTTTCGATGTAAAAATATTTTTATTTTGGAGAAAATATTTGATTATGCAAGTAAGGTTCCATTTGTTTCGAAGTTAAAAAAAATTTTAATTTCGGGAAAAATATATATTTTTAAATTTTTTTTTCAGTATTTGGCAAAAGTCTAAGTTGATATTGAGGTCGAATTAATTGGATGGGACGTGTAAATATATTTTTTTCATTAGCAAGAAGCACATGCGCACCCACTTTGCTCCTTGAACCCTCACCATCTATTTCGCTTCATCAGGTATGGCGTGTAAAATAATTTGCTGAAAATTAATAGATAAGTTATTTTTGTAAGTTTTAATATTTTTTTTCTTCCATAAATATTTTACGACAATGTTAACTCACTGTTTTTTTATTTTTCGTCCAAAAACGTAATTTGACATGTCATCAATAAAAAAGGAACTTGATGCGCTAGTAATTTACTAGTAAATAACAAAGACAAGAAAGAGGGATCCATGTTAATCCCTACACTACTTGCTTGAGTCTACATAAAATGTGCATTTATTTTTTTCTGGTTCTTTTAATATATTGAAATTATATAATACACTTAAACTAATGAAAAATGATTGATTACAAATTTAATATACTATATAGTTTAAACTAATGAAAATGATGATTACAAATATGATATATAGTTTATTATTTTTAATAAAATAATAGTATGAAAGGTGAATGCCGAATGATATATATCTACCGGGTAGACAGCATGTGAGAGCTACTCACCGAAACAGGACAGCGAGAAGTTTTTTCTTTTAAAGCCGTTACAACTAACGGACATTTAGGTGTCCAACCCAGCCTACCTGACAGTTGACTATATTATCTATTTATTGATTTTTAATATTTTTCTTACTCTGTCTATCTGGGCTAATACCAAATATAGCACGTGGGTAAAGATGCATTACCACATTCTAAGATGCCTTTGGCAAATATTAAACGCCGGTCGAAGATAAAAAATGAAAAATAAAGACAAATAAAAAAAAGTTACTTGTTCCGAGCTCCATCCACCTCAAAATAAAATTCTCTTCTATCCCGATGGGTTAGTGAAGAGCATTACAAAAATTAGACGGGTCCTTAAATCACTAAAGTTAATATTCATTGTGTTTGGAAATAATTAATTCCCTTCAATCTACTCATTAATTTAGCTGTTGTTAAAAGTTAAATTTTTCATTCATCTACAATGGAAATATCATCACATTAACATAAATATATACGGAGATAAAAATCATACACATATGATCTACGCATGACACAATATTTTACATGGTTCTCACAATTATAGAGTTACATTCACGGATAAAGATATTTTCACTATTATGATTCAAGGAAGAAAATATACAATCTTATGTCAAAACTCTATTTTTTTTTTTCCTAGTTGGGACTCACACACATTGCCTCCACTGAAGTTCGAACTCCTGACCTCCCTTTAGAGAGTAGGAGCGTTGTACCGCTAGGCCAC